CAAAATGAGTTCACAAATTGGAGAAATAATGAGCCCAGTAATAGTGGAGGAAAAGAAAACTGTGTGCAAATATATATAGGTGGATTCTGGAATGATAACTCTTGTTCTCATGAGCTAAGTTCGGTCTGCTCAGATATCAAAGGTGAGAGTTTTAAACATAAATTCTGCTTTTACTCTCTTTTTTCCCCAATAAGCCAAATTCATCAGTTTTACAGATTATTGATTTAATCTAAATTGTAAGACTATATTGACGGAAGTCCTTGTTTCAGGTACGGATGTGAAGTTTGTCTACATCAGTCTTAAGATGAACTGGACCAAGGCTCAGAGCTACTGCAGTAAACATTACACTGGCCTGGCCTATGTGAGGAACATAGAAGAGAACCAGAAGATTAAGAAGTTGATACCAGCAGGACAGAATCCATGGATTGGTCTCAGCAGATTCCTCTGGATCTGGGCCGATGGAAGCCAGTCCTCATTCCGTCACTGGAGCTCCGGGGAACCCAGCGCATCTGATAAGCTTTGTGCCATAGCAAACCTGGGAAATTCTTGCCAGTGGGAGGAGTTGGGCTGTAATGAACTACGGCCATTCGTCTGCTACAAAGGTCAGTCAAAGTCAGGCGTTTAGGTCTACCCACATTTACTTCCAGGGGGTAGAACAAAGACCAGATCTGGACATTTCAAACTTCACGGATTCCCCAGAGGTCCCTCAGTGCCTGATTGGGTAGTTATTCGTACTCCTAATCCTACTCCTAATAGTGAACAAAATAAAGGAAAGATGTTGTTTTGTTAATGCAGCTCTGGGAGATAAAAACGTTTCTCTGGTCATGCAACATGTTTAGAACTTTACTCTGCAGTTTATCACTACTTTCAATAACTCATCCTGCAGGATCACGGTTAAATAACAACATCCAGACTGCGTCTCTTTCTATACAGATATAGCTGCAGAAAGGAACAGCTGATCAGATTCACCTTCCCAGTTCAGATTATCTTAGTAAAGTCCTGGAAATAAAAAGGTTTATAGATTCATTTAAGATACTTTAACCCAATACTGGCTTATAGATGTTTGTAGATCCTTAATACAACTAAGGGCCTTTGTTACCAGTATGGGGGCGCCATGCTGCACTCTGGACTTCATTTGAATTCACCTGTAGACCCTCTACCAGACAGACTCTTTATGTCTTTGACATTATACACTAAGTACAAAGAATAAAAACCACCTGAAGACCAAATAAACATTTTTACTCGATAAAAGCTGATCCATAACAACAAAGAACACATTTACACATAAGATACAGCAAGTAAAGCAACAAATAAAGCCAGACCATCAGCAGCATAACATCCTATCGCCTG